CAGGGTGGCAGCCCCAGAGTGCCTCGGGCAGGGGGATGGTGCTGGCTGTGGGGCCATGGCGGCCGTGGGATGGAGGGATGCGGCGCCCGCTGCGGGGGGGAGGTTGCCATGGATACAGTGGGAGCATCCCTGGTGCAGCGCGGTGCTGCATCCTAAAAATAATCGTGCTGGAATGGGAACGGCTGCGTTCCCAGCCCCCGCTGGGGGTGGTGGGGAGCTGTGGGGAGCTGTGGGGCTGCAGCCCCTCCTGTGCCGTCACGTTTCCTGCAGCTTCTTTGCGGGGGGAGGAGGGCTGCGCAGCGCTGCCTGCTGCAGGGACAGAGCATCACCTCCTATTTGCAGCACGGAGCTGAAGAGAAGCCCCCAGCGCAGCGATCTCTGCGTGCTCTGCAATCCCCCCTCACCGTGTGCAGCTGCAGGAGCTGCTGGAGGCTCTGAGAGCAGCAGTGGGGGCATCGCACCGAGTCACAGCGAAGGGCCCTTTTCCCAGAAGCACCCTGAATTAATTCTGGTCGTTTCTTTCGTGGTGAGGGATGGAGAAGCAGTTGCTTTGCCTCCCCAGCATGGCGCTGCAGCACAGGCACTCATCTCCATGGGGTTAGAGCATCGCTCCCAGCTCTGCCATCTCCCTCCTGGAATATTTCCTGTCCCCTGTCCTGTCCCCACGGACCCGGTCGTTCTGCACAGTTCCCATTCTCACAGTGCCTCTGTTGTGGGGCAGTGCTTAACAACACGCAGCTCCTGCGGTCCTTCTGTGGCGCTGACCACGAGTGCATTGCGATTTACAAGTCAAACGAAAGCGCAGCTCTGCTGGTCTGGTTTGACGAGATTTAGAGACACCTTTCATTACCTCTCTCCAAAGCACATCCAATGGAGCAGACGGGAGCCCGGCAGGTTTGTTGTTAGCGGCAGGTCGGCTCTGCGCCGTCCATCACCGCGTGTCTCACATTTTTGGGATGGTGCTGCGGTGCTCCCGGCAAACCAACCTGTAATTAACGCAGCGATTTGGGCTGAGCTGGGCTGAGTGCTTTGAAGTCTGCGTCCCTGACTGCTTTCACTGCAGAATTCAGTCCCAGGCCTAAGACTGAAAGGAATTCCACTCGAAATTCGAGGTGTGTTTTGAGCAGAATGAAGAACGCAGATTGGGGGCTTGTGCTGTTATCTGGCATCTCTTTGGCACTGGAACTGGTGAGGATGAGTGCAGGTGATGGCCGTCGGTTGATGGCCTGCTGGTCAACCCAGAGCGCTTCCCTTCCCTGCACGCTGCAGGCAGGAGCTGGGAGGGATGGTGCTCAGAGCTCATTTCCCACAGGAAAGGGCTGAGGTGTTTCGTGCTGGGTTTACTCTCTGCTGGACAGATGCTGGTGGAGCGGCTTTGGCTCCCAGCACTGAATTCCATTTGTAGATGTGACCCGAAATGGGGCACTGCTCGTCGTTCTGTGAGCACCTTGGCAGCTGCTGCTGGTTCTACTGAAGCTGTTGCTTGGGTAGTTGGAATGGAAAATATTGACTAGGCATAGGTTTAATTTAGGTTTTAATGATCATTTTTGGGTAAGTCGTCTTTAGATCCCTCCCATGGAGCAGCCAACGCTGGAGAGGTTGGGGAGGAGGGAGCCCAAAATACACCGCGTCCTCTCCTCCCTTCTCCCTGCGTCCCATGCAGCCAGGCAGCAGGCAGACCGTCCTCCTGGCTTTCTTCTCCTTTGGATCATGCAATTGAAGAGATGATGAAGGTTGAAGGAGGGATCATGGAGCAATCAGCCCTGGGATAGATTTTCTCAAGTGGGGATTTGCCACCCCATCTTCATCCCCATCCCTATTTCATCATAACTGTCTTCAACCCGTCCCATCTCATCCTCATCCCCATCCCATCCCATCTGACCCCATCCCCAACTCAACCCGTCCTATCTTGTGGAATCCCCACCCATCCCACCATTGACCACCGCAGGGTTTGGGGCTTCAGATCCATCCCTGGTCACTGCAGGGTTTTTCCCCCATGCTCCAACCTTTGTATACAGAAGTTGGCTTAGGAAGCCGGGCTGATGCTCTTTAATGTCCTCATCAGTGACACGGCTGCGTTATGGGTGTCCATTTGTGCTCTGAACCAATGAAGCTTTCGGGAACCACCGAGGGGCAGAAGGCAGCGTGAGTGGGAAGGGAGGACCAGGCACCAGGAGCAGAGCTGTTTCGCAAAACGTTTTCTCTCTTATTCATGGAGAAGCCGCCAGCCACCTCCGCAGCTCGCATCTGTGTTGCCAACCCAGCATCTGAGGTTGGGCTGCAGGGCGCTCTGTGTTTGGGAAGGCAGCAGAAGCTCGTGCAGTGTCTGCGCGCACGTCCTGCTGGGATGGGACTCGTTTCCATCGTGGTCTTTGTGCCGTGGGGCTCTTTGGCTCAGCCCACACCTCTGACACTGAGATGATTTCACAGCAGTGGCTCCTTATCTCCTTACTGCAGCGGCCCTTCAGAACACATGGAGGGAACCTCTTGACGCGCTGCGATAGCCCCGGAACAAAGAGTTCAGCCATTAGCAGCAGAAGCATCGGCTTTGCAGTTCATTTCTCCCCGTTTGCTGCTCAGTTTTTCGATTTATCACAGAGAGAAATGTGGCAGATTTAACTCTGCTAAGCCCAGAGGAGGAGGGAGCTGGCAGCAGGAGGGGGGAGATATTCTGCTCGAATGAATGGACGCCGAGCGCTGGAGCTGCTTGCTGTTCATGGCTTCAGCTGCTGTGGATGGAGACAGTTCTCAGTGCCATGGGAAATGTGCTGATGGCTCCTCTGGAGTGCAGAGGAATGAGTTTGGTGGAGGCAGAGCAGAAGTAGGTCAGCTACTTCAATAAGGTGGTGGTGCTGCAGTGCCTGTGTGAACTGCACTCGTGTGGGGTGAATGAAGCGAGAGCAAAGCACAGCAAAGCGCCGGTCTGCATTGGGGACGGCAGCTGCAAAGCCTTTCACTGAGCTCTGATTCCCAGACCTCCTCTCCTCTCCTCTCCTCTCCTCTCCTCTCCTCTCCTCTCCTCT